GTAGGGAAATTATCTCCTTCGTTGAACATCAAGCAGTATCTCTTTAGCCAGCAGCAAGAGGAGAGGCAGCTTATGCTACTATGACATTCACGTCGTGACTAAGTTTTGTAACAAACCACTTGAGGAATTTGTGCGGGCCAGGTGAGACTATATATCTATGCAAAAGTTTGCCCTCGGGTTCTGATTGACCTACCAGCTATCATGTAAACACCTACACTTGAATCCTACTCATCAGCCTCCAGCGTCCACTAAAACTTCAGGGAAGAGGTCGGTAAAATCCCTCCTTACAGGATCTTACTGCTTCCACTTCTGCACTGAGTTTGGAACACATTTATGGCAGACTAAGAGGTTAGTTAGCAGTAACATCACAACTGCCTCTTCCAGCCATCTCCACTACCGGACTAAATTTCTACAGGCAACCAGAAAGACAGACAAGTAATCAGAAGACTTGTTTTTAGAAGATAATCACTTTACATAGTATACAAAGAACTAAAGTGCACAGTGTGGACAGTTTTAGTACAGGCTACAGCTGCAAAGCAGATGCATGAAGTACAGCCGATGTAACTCGGGCTGAACAAAGTTGGCTTAAAAACAAAGCAGATACATCCCGCGTGGATCAAAGCAGGCATATTCAGCGTGGCTGACAACAGCAGGCAGGCTAGCATTGAGAGACATGAGTTTGCACCCATTTGTCCTACACAAACCCATAAATACATTTTATAGTTTTAAACCACATTTCACCTTAGCTAACCAATAAAAAAAAGAGAACAAAAGCACACAAATATGTGGATTTAAATGTCTAGGAAGCAATATTCTGCAAGTTGTCTTGCCTGAATCCCAATGGAACATCCTATTTTCAATGTAAAATGAATCTTCCATTTGGGTCAGCTTAGTCATATGGATAAACTGACAAATCCTTGTTTTGTTTACAAACAGGTTTAAAAATCACGAGGTAACCAAGCAGAGGGCAATTATAGTGTCAGAATCTTTAACTCTTTTTTTTTTTTTTGCAGTTGCAAAAAGCATTTTGAAAACTTGTTTTACTAGGCAGAGTTCAAATTGTTACTCAACTACAATTACACTAATGTTAGACTGAGACAAAAGAAAATATTCTCAAGACAAAACAATTAGGTACTTACAGTTTTGAAAAGCTTTTCAGAAGAAATGACTGATATTGTACACTTAAACTTTGACCTTTATTCTAAATTGTTGAAAATTAACCCAAGTATACTTACTGCAGAACTTGTGTTTTTGCCAGATTGTTTCAGCAGTGCATTTTAGAGTACTCACTCAGATGTGGAAGACATGGGCTGAGCTCTTCATTAGAAAAAAGTTAAGCCCATCTTTCTCTTCCCCACCAAAAAAGGTCAAGGGCTACAGCAGTGCCAGATCCCTGAGGATGAAGTACTGACACTCCTGCCCACTGAAGACACCTGGAGAGTGCTCACAAGCAAGAAAGGAATTTCAAGAGTGTACATAACTGTGTAGATTTACAGGTTAGGCAGTGTCCTAGCAAAGGGTGACACAAGGTCAGACTGGAAGAGGCGAATGAATTTGTGTTTCTCACATCTTGAGGGGATGTTTAAGCCCTGAGTTACTGGATGGAAAGCAGCACAGGCATAATCATTGGCCTCCTCTTGCTGTCTTGGAATGATTTGGAAGAAAGTGTAGCCCTTCCCAGTTGGTATAAATCAGTCAGAGGCTCAGCTGTAGGGCAGAACTGGGTCTGAATCAAAAGTGGAGAAAATTACCTCAGCCCCTGAAGCACAGAGGCATAATATCACTGTCTTCAGCATCCCCAGCTGCTGGTCTTTAATGCTTCTTCTCAGTGTAAGTTTAATTACTGACCATATAACTGGGATGCTGTTAATTCTAGAAGGGCGCAAAGACCCTAATAATTAGGCACTGCAACATTCACTAGGAGCACCCTTTCCTTTGGGACTTTTGTTGAATTATGATGGTTGATTATGCAAAAGTGAAAGATAAAAAAGTCGCCTATAGTCACATAGCTGCTGTGGTTGTCTTACAGGCTGGGGTGCTGTTAGTTACTGATTACTGATGTTACAAAACCAGAGAGTAGTTTGACCAAGCGTAAATAGTTCTAGTTAATGTGACAAGAAGAGATTATGTGACTTCGATGAAATAAGGTAGACATCATATCTAAGAATCAGTAAATACACCTTCAAGTACTGGTGCTGAAGCAGGTTTCATCTGTGACCTTAAGTCTCTTGATGACACTTGTGTTTGTCTCCCTCACAGGAATAACTACTAATGTACATGTAAAGCCTAAATGCAAGGTCTAAAAAGTGTGGTGGGGGTGGGAT